GGGGGTTGTATATTCATACATTCATGTTACTTCACATACCGTAAAAACAATCGCTTTCCAAAGAAATCTGTCAGGAACTTCCCCCCCCAATTATCGGTCTACCCACGCCACTGAAAAATAGGTACGCTAGGCGTACATGTCTGTCCATGGTGATTGCATTGTTGCCAAGGAGTTTAATCAATACTCAGTAGCTTGTAAAAATATTAGGAGACTGATGTTTAAATGAATATGTTTTTTCTATGAACATTACAAATATTACAATAGTTTTGTTTGTGGAAACACCACGTAAATTTATTACTACAATGCTTTCGATCCGTAAGCCCAGATGAGATCTTCATCAGTGCTAATAATATGTAGATAGCACTGATGACGATCCGGGCTTACGGATCGAAAGCTTTGCAGTAATAAATTTACGTGGTGTTTCCACAAACAAAACAATTATATGTTTTATCGCCATGCAAACATACAAAGAACTTATTACAAATATTATATATTATACACAGTTGACTAGTTAAATGATCGAGGCTAGATTTATACAGGGTTTTTATATGTGAAGAAGAGTTAAATTCAAGGCCATGTATCAGTAAATTCAAAGACTAAATACTGAAGAAAAGGGGTTAGAAATCAGCAAATTGTGAATTGTTCAAAATGAGTTTCAAACAGCTTTGTCAGACAGCCTTTTATACATTTTTTATTTTTTGGTGTTAAAAAACATACATATGCATTATATTATTCCACATTTTGAGCAAAATTTGTAGTCTTTGGCACCAGAACAGCCACACACTGAGCAAAACATTTTGGCTCTCGACCGCTCTCAACAAACACTAGGTTCACAGCGCTACAAGAATGGCGGGAATGCGCGGGATGGATCTCCAACCACAAGTAATTTAAAAAATTAACTTCATTTCACCCGTGACTTTTTATTTTGTAATGAGTTAATTTCGTTTTGCCGTGAGTTAACTTTATTTTCCTGTGAGTTTCAATTTTGTTTTGCCGTTACAGTTAATTTTATTTTGCCGAGGCTCAGTTACTTTCTCTGTGACACTTGAGGGTTACCCAAAACTCTTTCAAACTTGGCGGGATTAACGGATCACTTCAATTAGCCAATCAGATCGATTAAGAGATTTTTTGGATCGTGATCTGATTGGTTAAAACGAAGGCGGACCAGAAAGTAGACGGGTACCTACAAAATGGCGAAATAGCTGGTATCCTGGCGTGAAACTTAAACTTTAGAACTAGGTTTCTAATCGTGTTTTTAAATTTGATATGACATAAAAAAGTAGTAAAGATACATTTTTAGATTTTTATAAGTTAGATAAAAAGCACAATAGACACTGCTAACTTTTTTTAGTCGCAATTCAATTGATCGGTAAATTAGAAGATCTGTTTTATATCGAATGGTAAAGCCGGTAAATTAGAAATAAAATTTTTAAAAAGAAAAGTGCCTCATCAATCCGTACTTCCCGACTCTGCTAGCCCGTATCGGTCAAGTCCGTCTCGTGCTAGCCGCTAGAACGCCGTATGTTAACGTTTAAGCTAGATTTCGGCTAAACTCAACGCTATCGTCAGAGGCGGTGAATAGGTGGCTTACCAACCGGTATCGAACGAACGACGGGGGAGAGTGCCGGCGGCCCCCAGACCATTATGCCTGGCACCCTTTTCGCAAGATCCTATGATCGGTAACTACCATACACAAGTAATAGTAACAGTTTCGTATATAAGTACGTTACAGTTGCCTGGTGTGGTGCATGTGGGACGCTTTAGCTCGGTGTTTACCAAACCTTTGAAACAAACGCATGCGTGATAACTTGACACTCGGGTAAACGTAGCGCATGCGTGGGCATCATCCAATCAGGACGCAGGAAAATTTCGCACTGGTCCCGCGAGTTCGAGAGACGTGCGAGACGGTTCAAAAATTTCAAAAATTATTTGTTTTCAAAACAAATTCAGTGAAAATATATATTATTCACATGTATTTGCTTGTCCAAGGTTAAAATTTAAAAACTATACTATCCAAGACGATGAATCGTCTGGAAAAGATGAAGGCGAAGTGAAATCTACACCGTCAATTAACCAAGAGGTCAACAAAGCTTAATAATATATTTTATACAGTCTGTTTTGTTTCCTTTTTTGACGATAGTTGATGCGAAATATTCTTGTCTAAAGCTTGCTTCAAGGTCAAAAGAGGAAAGTTCTTAGTTTGGCTTGATTAGTATTTGTATTTATGAATCCTATATTTAATAATTATTAACTTCCTTATAAACCTGGATATAAAGTTTCTAAAATCTTGCACATAGTGTATATTCTTGTATACAGAATACACCCTTCTGGAAAGTATCTCACTTCAGGGACCGCGGAGACGGGGGGGCTGGGGGGCTTTAGCCCCCCCACTTTTTTTGACAGCCAAAATTATTAAAATAGAAATCTAAATGAAACTTTCTAAATTAATTAATTGGGGGTTTTATTGATGATTTAGCCCCCCACTCTCTAATAGCTCCGCGGGCCCTGCACTTTGACTATAAAGCCTAAGGGGCCGCGTCCATATTCATGTTGCCACGCTTCGCGTCAAATTGACGTTAAGAGTGGGTGGGAGTGTGTTTTATCCTAACTTGCCTGACGTTTATTTGTGGCGTAATGACAATTTTGTGAAAATTTTGAAGAATTTGAGGTGAACTACAATGATAATATTTAAAGAAAGTAATTTTTGCAAAAATATATCCATTCATTCCTACAGTATATCATCCATTTAAGTCCTTTATGGACAGAAACTGAACAAGTGTTTCTGTGTTATTTAGCAAGTGTTTTATTTACAATATTGCATCTTACAAGTTGTATAGTCTGCTGGGTTATATTGTAAAATTCCTAAAGATCATCAATTCATAATAAAGTCTCGCTATTTCCTGGCTAAAACATGACTGCCACGCTTGACGTTAATGAGGGTGAGTGGGTTTGAGTGTTAACGTCAATTCACGAAAATGATGGCCAAGGTGTTGTCAGACTGAGTACTTTCCGGAACCGTGTTCAACCCAGGGGCGGCGCTAACCCTCTTCG